TGTTGAGTATTTTTATCCCTCAAAATTAATTTACAGCACATCTGTTACAGTAGGATATACCATTTCCCTGAAGAAAAATCAGTGTTTTTCTTGTGCAATTGGCTCTTCGATGGCACACACATTATATATAAAGCATTCGTGCACAAACAGTTCATTCTGCCCTGGTTATTTTCCCCATCATAGCGTGAGTATTTTTAGCCCTCATGTGATCCTCCAGTATTTTCCAGCTCTGCTTTAGTCATCCTGCTCTCGCTGAATATTTCAAACTAGAACGGCTAACAGCCTTCAGATCTAAGAACCTCTTGCATTTTTAGCTCACATGTAAATAAATAATTTTATTAAGCTGCCTTTTACCCGTGTATTTTTGACACCCCACACCCTTACACAAAGCAGTGCTCAATGGAGCTTTGCTCTGATACACAGGAATACTTACATAAGACACTAAGCTAAAATCCCAACAACCTGATCACCATTTTCAATTTGATCAGATGAAGCTTTTTCTGCTGTTTTCCACAGGGAGCAATAGAACTGGCACAAACAACAACGCCCTAATATTTTAATCCCTTACCATAATTTTGTCTCTACATCTGTAGGCTGTTTACCGCTGCATTAGCGAGGAGTGCAGGCTGTAGGAGATCGAAAGGCAGCTCAGGACTGGCAGATGGCTTTATATCTAAAAGCAGCTGTGGTGCTGTTGGCAGGGAGCCTGCAGTGGTGGTCTGTGCTGCTGGCTCCACTCCTCGAAGGATGAAAACATACTCATTCCCCCAGCAGGGAGCTGCGTTTACCTGGCAAATCCTTGCTGCTCCTACTATTTCTAGAAGAAGCCTTTTATATGTGCTACCGAAGCCATCCACCCTCCGTACAGCCAGCAGCTTGGCAACAAATCAGCTCTGCCTCTAAAGGACGGGACAAGGCAACACGAAGGTGGCACAGCAGATTAGTAGTAGGGTCCTATTTACGTTTCCATTTCCAAGCTGCATTATCCTTGACCTGTGCTGACTCCTCAGTTGGATCGTCTTCGGGAGGGGTAGGGCCATGGCTGTCAGACTGCTCCCTGATTAACACAAAACCTGGTGCATTCTCAGATTTCTGGAGTTTCAGTTTGTTTTAAAAGCATTTTTAAAAACAAAATAAAGACCACACGTGGCATTTGTAGAAATATACATAAATACCCATGTACAGCTATGGAAAGCAGCTACCTGATACCATGGGTCTTGTCAAGCTTTACTGTCAGATTAAAATACCAAACATAATTCGAACTCATGGCAGCTACCTTTCTGGGTAAGCTTTCAGAGCGGGATTTAGTGATTCGACCCCTTTCTTGTTAATTGAAAGACATCTTAGTCTACCTCTGAAAATACAGAGTTAGAACACAGTGTTATAAAGTAGTTATAAATAATTAAAGAGATCAGCACTTCCTAAATCACTCAAAAACAACACTCTGGTAAAGGGCACTGGAAGAGTTATTCCGTGGAACAACAGCAATCATCTGAAACACATACGAAACTACTAGTAGCTAAATAAAATATTCCTTTAGAAATGTATGTATTTGATCAATTTAGAATAGGCATATTTGAAGGTCTGTCAAAACCAAAAATATAGTGTGAATGAATACCCATATGTCTGCTTGCTCCTGACACTAAACAATAAGTGCATACATTTACATTTGTCCACTGCTCACTGTTTAAAAACTTTCGGATTATGTTGAAAGATCTTATGGGTTCTTTATTTTCTCTCACTATTGCTTCTTTTTGTTTCATTAATGAACTGAAACAAGACAGTACTAAAATTTCAAAGCTTCAGTGTTAATGTAGAGCAAATCACACAAATTAAAAGTGACATTAAAAAAAAGAACACGTACAAAAATAGAGGCAAGCTACTGTGGCAAACTGCTACAGATGCTGGTAAATGCTTGCTGCGTTGGTGTAAGAGGTTATTGCATCAAGCAGCCCACAATATTTACTGCTCCCACAACAAAGTCCGTGGAAGTAAAGCTGTGTCCAAACCTCAGCCACTTCACTGAAGACCCAAGAACACAGAATAACAAAATACTCAACATAAAAGTTATAGAGAGCAGTTTAAACTATGCCACCTGATGTTGCACTTACTCATGGGCACATATTCGTTCTTCATCCTTGTATCATCACGGAAGACAAAACTCCATACGAGGTGGGGAATTCTTAACCTGCTGCAGAACTCATGAAACCTTCTCTTTTTTGCCTTTTTAGTATCAATGGCTAAGCTTGTTTTACTCACATGGGCACATTATGGTTCCTATAACAACTGCAATGAATACTCTTTCATTTCCAGTTAAGCGTGCATGACCATGCACAGACACACACACATACACACCCCCCAGACGTACAGAAGAACGTCCTTCCTGGTAATTTCCCAGCTACCCAGGACTGGCTCCCACATCATCCCAATTTACTCCCAGACAGCAGGAGATGAGGCACACGCAGGCTTGCAGATGCATAGGGCACTCCTCCCAGTGTCCTCTATCAACAAACACCCAGTAAAAGCTCCCATCCTTTCAATCAATCAGGCTACGTGATGTGGTGAGGGGAGGCACAAAGGCACAATACATCAGTGAAATAAAAATGTGCTCACCCAAAAACTGAACGAACCTAAGAATGACTGACACCTAAATGAAATGGTCCTGTTCTAAAATGCAGGCAGCAATACAAGCTAAAACTCTTTTTTTGTCTAGTATCATGCAATGCCTACACCCCCCTCCCCAGCTCAACAAAAATTAAATGAGTGTTCCACCTGCCACACTTCTGGACAATATGTAAGTTAAGAAGGAAGGAAGCTTTCCAAGAAAAAGCTAACTTACACAGCCACAGCGTCTTACTAAAGATCATTACATTATATATCAGTGGCCCTACTCCATACAAGGGCTGAGGAGGCACAGGACATGCTTCATACAACCAGCAACACGGCACGAGATCTCTACGTTATCCTTTGTATCAGCTGGCTGGTTCCACTCCAGTAGCTATTCTGTTTCTTTGGGACTGTCACCTCCACAGCTTTAATTTGGATGACACATTTGTGACTTTGGTACGAAGTACCACCTGCAAGAAGAATTAACAAGCGTAGTAAAGTCTGTATTTAATAAAAGCGCCTTTTCCAATTTCTCAATTGGATAACACCATGACATTAGCACTTGTGGGTTTTTTGTCTTCAAAGGGAGTGCAAGATATCACATGGAAAATTACAGCATACCAGGTCCTGAAACTCAAAAGTTTAGACACATGATGGTGCAAAACAAAGATGTAAACAAGCTTTAAAAGCCCAGAGCAGCACTGGCTTGCTATCAGGTGCTCAATTTCCTGGAAACACTAATGAGCTGAGGCAGCTGGCCAATGTCCCACTTCTTTGACGTCAGAAGCGATCAGAGCAGAACGCTGAAATCTGGGTATGATTCCAGAGCGTAAGCCAGCCTAAAATGGAGGGTGCCTCATACCTGCCCCTTCCCTTTGCCAGCACTGGTGCATATATGAGCCCACGAGAAGACAGGTCACAGAATTAAGCCAACTGAAAATTAATCATTATTTGAGGACTGTGTTAGTATGAATAAAGTAAACCCTGGACAGAACGATAAAGGAATTAAGTGTGTGTGCATCTGTGTTTCTGTATGCACAAACCTATATACGTACAGGCAACCCACCCCAGTAATACTCATTTAGTAATGATTTTTTTAAAAAATGTTAGCTGCTTTGCTGTTCACTTAACTGTCAGTTATCAAAAAATGGCATCTGCTTAGCGACCATATTACATAAACACCACAGCTCAGGCTCAGTCCTTTGGCCTGCTCCAGAAACACCGTTGTGGTTTAACCCCAGTAGGCAGCTCAGCCCCACACAGCTGCTCACTCACTACTCCCCTGGCAGGACGGGGGAGAGAATCGGAGGAGCAAAAGTGAGAAAGCTCGTGGGTTGGCATAAAGACAGCTTAACAGGTAAAACAAAAGCCATGCATGCAAGCAAAGCAAGGTAAGGAATTCATTCAGTACTTCCCATGGGCAGCCATCCCCGGGAAAGCAAGGCTCCAACATGTGTAACAGTTACTTGGGAAGACAAATGCCACAACTCCAAACATCCCCCTTTTTCACCTTCTTCCCCCTACAGTTTTGTTGCTGAGCATGATGTCATGTTGTATGGAACATCGCTTTGGTCAGCTGGGGTCAGCTGTCCCGGCTATGTCTTCTCCCAGCTTCCTGTGCATCCCTGGCCTGCTCACTAGCAAGGCAGGCTGAGAAACAAGAAAGGCCTTGATGCTGTGCAAGCGCTGTTCAGCAGTAACTAAAACATCCCTGTGTCATCAACGCTGTTCTCATCACAAATCCAAAACATAGCACCATACAATCTCCTATGAAGAAAATTAACTCTATCCTACCAAAACCCAGCATAAACACAAAATAAAAATTTAGAAGACCGAGGTATCTTTGAGAAAGAGCAATAGTTGTACACTGCTCACTTAAGAGGACTACTGTACCTGAACAATAAGCACATATAAAACCACAAATCAATTCATTTTTTCCTTCTGGTCAGCCCTTAAGATTTGGAAGCATTGCACTCATCATGAAAATGGAAAAAAAAAAAATACCAGCCTGTGTTAGCAATTTCCTGTAAGGGTGGAGGTGCGAGAGAGAAACACGCTTCATTTAATGTTCTTGAATACACTTACACACACTACACTCATTGGCAAGAAAGTTAAATGCCTTTGTCTCCACCATCAGACATCACTCAAATCCACATCATTTCCATCAAGGGTTCAGTAGGGGAGACCCTACACCCAGCAGGGCTGGGCCAAACTAGAGCACCCTACAAGAAGTTAGCTTCTGCCATCTCAGATGCGAAGCCTATGACAAGGCAAAAAGAATGGCTCATGCACATGAGGAAGGAAATAATTTTTAATTAGTATTTACGTAAAATGGATCACAGCTTATAGTTGTCTTCAGAGACAGAAATGGAATACTTGAAGATGCAAAATACCTGCAGTGGGAGAGTTTGCATGGTGAGACTTTTTGGGCAGGTTGAAGATTTGTTCACCAGGATCTGGTGGAGGAAGAGCATCTTGGCCTTGTCGAGCTTCCACAGGATCATACTCCTTCCCATCATAGTTAGCATCAAAGAACTTCTTAAACCACTGAATGAAATCTAAGTTGTCTTGGAAGCGCCCTTTGACCAGTTTTTCCACGGGAATTACCTGAAAGGTAGAATAAAGGTTCCAATAATGTATCATTGCCATTTTGAAATATAAAAATTACATATATATACACACTTATTTGAACAAAATCTACTAACTATATCAGCATATATTCCTCTGCCACTGTTTTCTTTCTAAAAGAAGGGAAATTATGGTAGATTTGGAAGTGCTCTTAAAAATAAAATCAAAATAAAGCAAAGACCCAGCTTTGAAGTGGCTAGACAGTGGGTGTATATAAGCCTTTAAAACTGCTCTTCCACAGAGTTACTCCTTTCTTATTGCAGTGATAACCATGAGGAATGAAGCTGTTCTGGGAATAACACTATATTCAGCTAACTAGGGATTTCTGTTCTTAATGGACATGCTATAGTTGAGCATACTAAAAATGCACAATTCTTCAAAAGGTCCAGAGCGGTGTTTCTTGCTCTCTGTCCCACTGTTTGAACTACAAAAACCAGCAGCTTTTCCAAGACACGCTGAAGCTCAAACCAACCTACATTTTGGTAGTACATGTTCATCATAGGAACTAACCCTGAGGTTTTAAACTTATAATTTTTTCCCATTCCATATATAGCTATACATAGAACAGTTCGTGGACATGCAGAAGTTGACTAAAATGCCTACAAAGTTTAAGTAAAACAAAAGAAAGGCCATGACGATGTCTCCATAGCCATATCCTGCAAAATTTTTCACAGAAATAAAGCCTCCAAAAGGTGCCATGGGCGTATATTAGTGTAAGGAGGTGGGTCAGTGTTGCTTTGCAGGAGGCTCAACCTTCCTAGACGCTGTGGGCAGACAGGGACTATGAAGGGAACACTGCAGAAGGAGGGCTGCCCTGCCTTGCTTAATTCATGCGGCTGATTAAAGAACCAAGTTCAATGGGTCTTAATGCCTCCTGAATGCACTTGATTTTCAGCTGGAAAAAGGGTACCTAAAACCATTGCAATTTTCATTTCTTCCTCAAGGTTAAGCCAACTGTGCAGCATTTTATAAGGCTGTGATACTCCAAGGATTAACATAGCATTTTGCAGGTCTTTTCAGGTTGCATAAACCAGTACCTTATGGCTGAACAAGAGCCCTCCATTCTTAACTTTACAAGATCACATGTGCTGGCCAACCTATCAAATAATTGGATAAATTATTCCAGCTCTTGAATACTTTTAATTCCTTAAATCCCATTTTGGACAAGAAACATGGAATACTTACAGGAACAGCTTATTTCCAAGTATTTGGTTGGAAATTCAGGTCACTAGCAATTTTACTGTATCTAAAATTAAGGTTCACTGATGGTAAGGAATTTCAAACACACGGTATTTGATCAAAAGGGTTTCTGATATTAAGATATAATGAGTTAGGCTGCACAATTCCTCAGCGGACACATGGACTCAATTTTCACTTTGTACCTAAATGGAGCATGCCAAATTTCTTCCTTCATACCTACATACCCTTTTCAGATCATGAAAGGTCAAGAACATCATCTTCACATACAACTTGTGCTCTAGTTCTCAGTCCAAAAGTTGAAAAAGTGGACTTCAAGTATTTTGAAGTTTATTTACGCTATTTATTGACTTCACGTTTTTTATACAACTTTTGAAACTGGCAGTAACTGAGATACAAATACAGAATGCTTACCTTGTCCACATTCATTCTTTTAAATGATGCTTGCAGAAGTTTGAAGTTGTGAATGTATTCATGCTCCAGCTTTGCTTGAAACTTGACTTTCTTCAAGCTAATGCACCCTGGGAACAACATGTCCATGAACTGGCAGTAAGCTGCTCCTACAACAAGAGAATGCGTTGACGTTAATCCAGATGCACCCAGCTAAGACCAAACGGCGTTTAATGTCATTAGCAGAAAGCAACCGTGCTGAATAAGTCCCTGCTGTAATTCAACCTAACACTACGCTCCCAAGATCTACTTGTCTAATGTACATTGAACAGTGTGACATATTAATGTGGGTTTTTTCCATTCGGTCTGGATGCATGATGCACTGTCGTACAGCATCTGAAGAACCACCGTGACTAACAAAATATAAATCTTTCTTCTATTTAAAACTGATGTTCTTGGAGTTCCTATACACAGTAGGACTGTCCATACAGTGAGAAGATCACAGTCAAAATGGAAATCTCTCACTAAGCTCCCTCAATCCTCACAGCCCCCTGAATACAATCAAGCCAAGAACTCCTTTCTTCTGGCACTCGTAGCTGAACGCCAATCAAATCCAAAGTGATAATTTAAGATTATATCAAACCACGATTTAAAAACAAACAAACAAAACAAAACTGTAAAGCTCCAGCTTGTTAAAACATACCAGCCAGTTTCCACCCCTCTAAAACAAACATCTTTACCAATTTTCATCTCCTGAGAAAAGCAGTTAAATAAGCAGACTTTAGCGTAGTCCACCCATAGATATCAGAAGTCTCACTCAGAACAATAAGGTTTCTAAGTTTAGCTTTGAGGGCTATCTACAGAGCTGCAAGTATATGGGAAAATTTCTGAACAGTGTACTGAGTACAGCTAACGGGGATAGCTTTTTCTTGTGTGCAGGGAGCTTCCTCCTCCTCCATCATCGTGTCACTGTCATTTGTAAAATAAGTCTTTACTGATAACATGCTCAAGTGTTTGGAAATAAAGGCTGAATATGTTTGAGGAAATTGGAGGAAAACCAATTTCAGTTCTTCTTCAGAAGGGAGTTTTCTACAAAATGCGTTACACTCAGCAAAGACGCAGTGAGGTCCATTTCTGGAGCAGGGGGCTGTCGAGCGTGCAGCCCCTGCGCTTGAGCATACAGGGCAGGGAAGTGATTGCCCGATTACTCCTGACAAGTTCAATTTCACTTCCACAGAAAGGACTTCTGTGCATTTAGTGCAGACCAGTTTTGACAAACGAGTGTCCAGATCTCACCTAACAGTTCAGCTCAGTATCAACAACAATAATTTTTATAAAAAAATAATTCTGCTGAGTGCTCACACAGAAACCAAATTAACAAAGCAGACACCTGGCTTGCTCAGTTTTACAGGAGGGGCAACAATAAATTAGATATTTTCTCTGTGGGTATGCATGTGTTTTGACAGGACCAACTTTATGCATGAGATAGTTCTCATTCTCTGCATCCACTCAACCATCGTATGAAGGTTTACAAAGCTCATAACTTACAAAAAAGAGAAGCAGATTTTTAAAGCGGAGTCCAAAGATGTTTACCAAACTACTGATCTGAGTTTTGCTAAGGGACTTACCAAGATCAAGCTTTAGTGCTGGAAACCACTGCCATATTTTAAAACGTTCTCTTCATGTTGCCTAGCTTTGTGGGGGCAAACTGTTATAAAAAAAATCTGATTTTCCAAAGACACCTTGTGCTTAGCTGTTTGCAATGGTTTTGATACGATTAGGAATCAAAGTAAAATATTCCCTACAGGAAAAGGAGGCTTCTGGCAAGCTACAAACATCAGATGACAAATTTGCATCTTCTTATAGAAAGCTATGTAAACACAATTAGTTATTCAGAATTCTTTGTTAGCAAGAGAACTGGTAACTACGTGGCAACAGAAAAGTAATATTACAATTAAAAGCATGGATATACAGATAATGCATGGCATGACTACACTTATTGCTATTTAATTTCATGCAAAAGGATTATTATGCAATCATCTCATGTTATAAATTGAATTTGTTCCTAACACTGTCCTTTCATCCTCCCTATGCCCCAATTATAAGCTTTACTCTGATATCTAAGTAATTGCCCGGAGGCCTTGAAAATGCACTGCGCAACCTTTCATCTAGATCCTTTTAGAAAACTAGAAACGCAGAGTGTTCACATGAGATTTTCTCCTTCTGCTGGTAACGCAAATTCCTTCTGCATGCCTTTGGATAGCATCTGACCAGGTTTAAGACTCTAGTGACGGTATTTCCTTGTGTTTCCTCCCCATCACGCTGGCAGTTGTTTCTGTGCTTTTGCCAGCCAGAAGGTGGTCCTGGGTCTGCACGACACTCGAGGGCAGAAAACACTGGACTACAGCCACGTGACAGCACGAAGCTGGCTGCCGGGCTGTTTCCCCAACAGGAGGATTTTATTACATCAGCAAACACAATTCATTAAAATACTCCTTCCTGAAGTACAGAGGCAACATACAGACATGGACTGAGCTAAACATTGTAAGCTACAAAGAGAGAAAATTCTTCTTGACTCCCAAAAGGCAGAGACAGCAACAGGAGAAAGTAAAAATATCATTACAATCAACTGGGAGTACCCGATTTTGGACATCGACATTATGTACCTATTTAATATTATATAGGTATTTATTTATAATTTAAAATTTTACCCCCTAAAGCTTGTAGCTGTCACATTGCATTCAAATGCTAAACATCAGTGCAGCAGAATGGGGACACCACTTTGTGCGCTGCCCATCACTGAGATTTGCTGAAGGCAGCAGAAAGAGCAGCTCTGCTTAACTGATGCAAGATCGCGATGCCTTTACCTCACAGCCACAGCATATAGACATGTCGTCCTCTGCGTACTGGGCAGCACTTTAGACATATTTGATTTATTATACAACTGACACTTCAATGCAGGTGCATGGGAAAGGAGTATTTTTAACAGAACATAGAGAACATGGCAGTAGAGAAAACGACGTCCTGGCTTGTGACATACCGCTTGCATAATTTACATGAACAAAAGGATTTTTATGCCATTATATTTTATTAAAGATTTTTAAATTTCCTTACATTTTCTGAAAAAAACTGCTCCTGAATACCAACAGCCACCCACCACAACCTCCCCCAAAACCTAACAAATCTATACACAGAAGTTGAAAACTCACTACCTGTCCAGAATGGCTCTCCATAAATCTGTCTCTATGACCAAGAAGCTTTTGTATGCATGAAAATATGCACATGCACACAGACAAAGAGAAATAATTTGAAATCTACTCAAATGAAAGATGAAAACTGCAGCTGGTAGCACTGCAGAAGAGGGATCAATGTTAAAAACCTCTTACCCTGTATTAGCTAAGCAGCAATATAGAATCTGGGCTGGCTAAAAGTCCTTTTGTGTTTTGATCTAGAATATTGATGCAGCCATTAGCTACAGAAGATATTCACAGGCCAGACTCCAAAACCAACCCGCAGACATGTCTGTGCTGGATTACACCCCCAGCAGCCGCTACTTTTGGCCCGATCAGTGAGTGGAAAGTGCCCAGCGGCATCGCAGAGTTTGCAGGCGTTTGCTGGGCTTCCCACCACGGCTCAGGGCAGAGCAGGCAGCAAACGCAGGCGAGGGGACTGCGTCCACAGGCTGGGCGGGCAGGCAGCAGGCAGGGGAGGGCAAGGGGTGCTGGGGCAGAATTAAGACACAGAAGAACAAACTGAGAATTAAAAAGGTGGTTATTTAAAGCTATTACAGTTGAAGAGTTTTGCCACATGTGGTGGTAACGCTGGAAGCTTCTACCCAGTCTATAAATCTCACAATAGTTTTACAGCGTTTTCAGAGTTGTAGATAATCTTTCACTAGTCCACCTTGCAGTAAACAGTGCTGAAGTAATTCTGGCTTTTGCCCTGTACTTTCCTTGCTTCTACATTTCCTTCCCAGACTGTCCATACTGACTTGCAGTTTGCTCTGAAGCCACATGCACTCTGCATCATTACAGGTTTTCAGTTTTTCTTCTTTCTCCTCTTCCATCTGGAGGCTGATGAATCCAAAAAACAAACATTTTCATGATAATCAGAGGTACTTCTGCTTCTGACTATTTAAAGCACAAGGAAATTGAAGGAGATAACAACGAAAACCGAGAATCCTGTTTTCCTGCAACTTTTTACTATTTGGTAAGCCTCCTAGATTTCAGCTGGAGAGCAAGATTTGGATCCTTGGTATTTTTGGCATCTATGTTTGTATATTTATAAAGGAAAATTTAAATATTATTTGCAAACTAACTTCTTTAAGTATACTGTATTTAGTACTTAGTATACTAATAGAGTATACTAATAGAGTATTTAGTATAAATAATACAACCTCAGGTATGCACAAGTGAAGATTTGTCCCCTATAGGAGGAGTCAGGTCAATCCTTCACATCAAATGTCAGAAGACTGTCCCTCCCAGTTCATCCCTGCAGTATGTGGGAGCTAGGTCCCAGAAAGCCAGCACCAGCCAACACAGGAACATAAAGGGCCCATGAAAAGACAGGGCCTATCTGTGTGGGGGGCTGCTTTATTTTAATTCTGATGTCCAAACCACAGCTAAGCGCTACGCTAGAAATGTGCTATAAATGCTTAGTAAGAATTTTGTTCTAAAATAGCATCTAATTCAAGTTTAAACCTTTTAACCAGGCCTCAGTTTGCTTTTCACGCAGTCATTTTTTAAAAATTCCATTTGGGAAAAAGGCTGACCGTACCTTTTTCTGTAATTGGAATTTTTTATTTGCTTGTTTGCTTTAAGGAAATATTTTTCAGACAATCTAGAAACATATACCCAGTCACATTAGATACAAATTCCTCCAAATATTCACTCCTTCCAAAGCTGCAACAACCTGACCATGCATTTGGAAAATACAGGATGATTTGTATGCGTATTAGTCATCAGCACTTCAGCAGAGCAATGGTTGCTAACACTGATGGGAAACTGCACACACCCAATATTTCTGTTGCTGGGACAACAACAACAACAACAAAAAAAGGCAGTAAAACTTGCAAGGAGCATGCATGACCTAATAGTTTTTATAAGAATGGGGAAAAAAACCACAAAGGCCAGCAATCATTGTTTACAGTACAGCAGCACTTGGGGCTTGC